AACGAAGCATCTATTAACCCCGCGTTGTGGAGATTACCAAACTTTTTAAACCCCCAATCCACTTTGCGTTATTTAAATTTCTTTAAAATTGTGCAGGGTTTTTTGGAAACCTAATTTCTATCAAATTTTTCCAAAGACATTTAAAATTTTTATTTGAAATTATTTTCTAAGTTTTATTATTTTTTCTAGGTAATACATTAAAAAATAATTCATATGAAGATTTATTTTCACAGTTATTTGCAGAGATGTCAAAAGAAGTTTTGAACTATTTTTATTATGGATTACAATTCGTTTCTTCGGGGCTGAAATATTCCTTATACGTAGACAAGTACTTTTCTATTTACCTATATCTTATATCAGAAGCTGTTTAACACTATTTTTACCAAATATTTCAAAAGACATAATTAAAACATAATTAAAACATAATTCACATTAAGAATTGTTTTCACAGTTTTTGTATCCTAATATAGAGATCTCCAAAGAAATTTTTACTATTTTTATTATAGATTAGAATTCGTTTCTTCGGGGTGCAAACATCCCTTATTATGGGAAATATTCTGATAACCAGTCTGCCTTATTTATTTTGGTGGTGTCACTTTAGTGCTACCTATCATTTGATTAAAATAAAATTTTGCAACATATTACTTTTATATTCAATCTTAAAACGGTATATTGCAAATTAATTAATACTTTCATTATAACGTATACTTACACATAAAAAAAGTCACAAAGATTGGTATTTGTTGAAATATCTTTATAAAAATTATTTCCTCATTGATATTCATTACTTTATATAATATAGATACCTAATATTATTTGCATATTATGTGCATATGTATTTATTAAATTCCGGTCTTATATTAGCCAACAAAGAAGGAATCTCTACTGTACAACAATTTAATATCACATTAATATACACAATCATATATGACTCATAACGAGTAGTAATTTGCAAATGAAAACTTTGAAGCTTCTACTAGTATCGACCATTAACCATTTACCGTTGTTTAATAAACATCCCAAGAACAAAAATAGTAATTTAAAAACCATTTGTCACGACTGTTAATCAAGTCACGTTAATTGATGGGCAAGAATGTAAAAAAAGTGCACCGAAGTATATAGAAAAGGTGAACTAGTTGGAGAATAACGAGATCCCCCGCGAAGCGTTCTTTCCTCGAATGAAAAGCGTAAGCGTTTTTACCACAGTCTTTAAGCCGGCAGCTTAACCCCCCAAGGAGAAGCTTTTCATCGCTTGAATATCGAAGAATTTGTCGCTCCGCTTGAAGCAGGTCGAGTGAGAAGACATCAAAGGATTCTTCCTCGACCCGCCTACGAACCCACCCCCTCCACTTTACCCGACGTAATAATCATTTATTATCCCGGTCGAGTAATAACCGGTACACGACGATGTTATGAAGTTGCGAAATTAGGGCTTTGTTTAAAAATTAGCTGTCCGCAAGTTTTCACGGCCTTATCATAAACTTCGTCTTCGAAGTACATGACTTGCCCCCGTTGTTTCCTCCTTAATGTACAATCTCGAGACTTTTGGGCTTCGATGATGGTTCTTTATTCTATTTTATTTACGACGTCAAACTTACTACGACTGGTTCTTTATTCTATTTTATTTATTTTCATTTTTGTTTGTTTGTAAATAGTAGTTAAATATCTTCCTTGTTATGAAGATTCCCTATACCTAAAATTGAGAATAATATACAGTGAGGGAATTAGTTCTGTTTAATATTTTTATTTAGACCTCGATGATGGACTAGTTTTTATTTTTTTTTTTTTGTAAATAGTAGTTAAATAAATTAAAAATTCTCTATATGTAAAATTAAGAATATTATACAGTGAGGAAATTAGTTCTGTTTAATATTCTTATTCAGACCTGAATGATGGATTATTCTTTATCGTATTTTATTACAGTAATTTTAATGATTATCCAACATTTTTGTTAATGCCTAAAAACATAAATTAAAGAATCTACAGTTGCTTATAATGAAACTTAATAATGCTTCGAATGAAATATTCTCTCATGATGCAATAATTTCCAACAGCTCGTTTCTCGATTCTTGCAATATTTACTATCTAATATTATAAATAATTATTATCTTTGCATTTATACATTTCACGTAAGACGGTATTATGCCTCTCGTCTAACAAGTTTCCTTATTTCTCTTTATCAAGTTTTTACAACGGGTTTCTTCATAAATATCTGTTACAAACGCTTTAATTACTTATTTGCTTAATTATTAGCTATTTGTCTTGCGGTCTCGTCTTTTTGATTGCGTCAGGACTCGAGTTGTGCAATGCTTGCGAAATCGCGTGGAAGATAATTTTCTGATCGAGTACTGCCATCCATTATAAGTCACCTCTAACAGTAAATGCAACTACTTTTACATATATTCCTAGAAATTTTTTGTCTTTATGTCAATTACTGTAAATTCGTCGGAATTGGTCGAAGACGGTTAATGACACGTTAAGAAATAAGTCTGGTTTTTAACAACCATTATTATGAAAAGAGGACGATTATAAATAAATTAAAGTATTGTTTGCTTACTTTTATAAATCGTGTTTTCACAAAAATGTCAATCTAAAGTCACAGTAAAATCACGATCTAGTTTTAGGTTAGGTAGGGTTAGGTCTTTGGAAAGTAGGGTTAAAAATTGCCCCGCCATTTTGATTTCCTGATACGCACGATGTGATTTTTCATGCCGCTATTTTAATCTACCTGACAAATGTTACATTAATTCAGAGAGAAAAATATTATTCCATATTTCTCAGTAGAAATGTGTAGTTCACCTAGAGATTTTTCATTGTAGCATACTTATTTTATTGACTCTAAAAATTTATACTTCGAAAAATCAGTCACGTTTTATTTGAGTCCATTATTAATTTTTTCGAAGCTCATTATAATTAAAATATTTATTATTTTGCTGCTATGTACTATCCACTACAAAGAAAACGAGTTCTTTAAATTTCTGGAACAGTTTTTAGCGAATAACAAACATGGCGACTATAGTAATTGAAACTTCTATTTTTCTTATTGGAACAGTCTAAGAAATTCATTATTATTTGTTTAGAATGCATAGTTTGAAATAATAAATAAGCTAATATCCTCGTTCTCCTATTAAAAATTTTCTATTTTCATTTATCGAGTTTCGTTTTCCTATTATTTAATAATAACCAGCGTTCTACTGTAATTTAAATTATTTTCAAAAGCAATGGGGGAGAGAGGTCTTGGACTTTATTTATTTATTTACGGATTAGTAACCTAGTTTGCACACTAACGATGCATAGAAATAAAAATATAAAAAATGTAAAAAAATGAGGACTTCGTGCAAAAAAAGAATCTCGTCGCGGTCGATCTCAAAGTGATATTGTTTGATTTTGCCCGCGAAGCGTGCTTCCGGTTTCGCTCGAATTCGCATGGCGTCGCTCCTCTCGTTTCTGACGGTTTTACGACCCGCTCGGAAGAAATAATTTCATCGAAAAGTCGCGCCGAGCGTGGAAGAAAGCTGGAACGCCGCCATGCTTCTCCGCCTCGTGCAGACTCGCTCGCATCGGCGTAATTGCCAGACATAATTGCAGTCCCCTTTTGTTTCTTCAATTACGCGGGTTTAGCCCAGCGATGGCGGGAGAAACGTATGGGGCCAGGAATTTTTCTGAAATGGCTTCTGTCGTTGCCATCTCTCTTGAAAATCATTGCTTTCCGACGTTTCGTCAACTCCAACGTTCCATTAAACGTCGTTCCTGTGTAGAGTCGTTCTCCATCGACAGCTGCAGGAGTCCAACTTGTGGAAAAAGTTAAATTACAGCTATTTATCTTGAAATAATTCACAGTAAATAATTTTCAAGGTTTCTATAATTTAATCAATGGAGGCTTTTGGACAATAAACAAAACTGAGAGTGATCACACTCATTTTTAAAAGCATTATAGAATTGAAAAATTCATCAGTACTGTTGATTTGTATCAAATATTGTTTTGGAACTAATAAGAACTGCTCCAATTTTGGTAGTCGTGGAAACAGTTAATTTTGCTCATTTTCGTTCATTATTTATTTTGGAAATATTATTTTATAAAAATGACAAAATTGAAATTATTTAAGAGCACCCTTCACGATTCAAATTTCAACTAACATTCGTGTTGAAAATCGCCTGTTTTAAAAACTGTAAATCGTGGTTGTATACGAATTTTGATCTCGTATCCATTTTTAATATTTTATTCTATTTAACATTAGTGGAAGACAAATATGATCGTATTGTAATTTTATCGCCATCTTTATCTAACAAAGATTCGAGTAAACCTTCCATTTTGTTATGAATTCAATTCACTTCAGCGCCCCGACAAAGTTCATACGTCACACACTGTAACAATTTTTCGTTCCTCGCTTAGAAATGGCGTATCTTTCGCAATGCTTCAACGTCAACGCAGGATTTATCGAGTTCTGGGTACCCTTTGCAAATTATTATCACCATCATAAAATCTCCGCTGAACGGAACAGTCATTGCGTAGGTGTGATGACGAATTACAACCTCCTAATCGCCGCTAAAATCTACATATTTCATACTTTCAGTCGAGCGTATATTTACGAGAGTAGACGTGTACCGAAAATTTGTCTTTCTTCGTTTGTATACATGCCACTGCAAAATGAATATTTTTTAAAAAATAAATAAATGCACTACGAATTTTAACAAATAAACTTAAAAAATAAAAAATCTTTGCATTCATTATATTAAGCTTCTTGGCCCGAATGGTAGAATAAAGTGATTTGCAAAGAAAAATTACTTTCTTTGATTCTCGTTTAAAAAAATTCGAAATATAAATAAATACTTTACGAAGTTCAACGAATAAACTTAAAAAAGAAACGACCTTTGCATTTATTGCATTAAGTTCCTTGGTACGAGAGGATAGAATGATTTGCAAAAATTAAAATTATATGGAATTTACGTAGTACGAAATTTAGTATCGATTGGTGTAAAAATTGGGGGAAAAAAACATTCGCTGCGGACAGGATTCGAACCTGTGTGGGTTAACGATCTACCCAATGGATTTCAAGTCCATCTCCTTAACCGCTCGGACACCGCAGCTACGTGCTAAGGGTTGTTACAGTTCGTACTTATTATCGATAAAACAATAAACAGAGATCTCTACTGCTACTAGCTACTGCTGATAGCAAAGAAACATTTTTTAATTAATTTCAAACCATCTCTGTACAATAATTATAAATTTTTTTATTACGTCTGTCATCCATACTTATTAAACACATATTTTTAATCTTATTTGACTTTAATATTTAAAATAATTCAACTTCCGATGAACTTTACTAAGGCTAGTTCGATTTATTGGCAGAATTTAAATTTAAATTTTCTTTCTTAAATAATAAGGGTCTAATGAACAGTAATATTTGTTATATGAAAAGAGTGTTTTCTAAATTATGGATAATGCAACATATATAAGATCATCAATGAAAAGTAATAAAACTGATCTTAAAATATAAGTATTTACGAACTGTAACAACCCTCTGCACGTAGCTGCGGTGAGCGAGCGGTCAAAGGGATGGAATTGAAATCCATTGGGTAGGTTGTTAATCCCACACAGGTTCGAATCCCCTGTCCAAATTGAATTTTTCTTTTTCTCAATTTTTACACCACTCGATACCAAATTTCGTACTACGTAAATTCTATATACATTTAATTTTTTGTTTTAATGTGAATCAAAGTAATTTATTTTCGCAAATCATTCTATCCTCTCGTGTCAAGAAGCTTAATACAATAAATGCAAAGATCGTTTCTTTTTTAAGTTTATTCGTTCAGCTTCGTATTTATTTATATTTTGAATTTTTTTAAATGATTTGCAAAGGAACTAATTTCTCTTTGCGCCAAAAAAATTGAGAATGATAGTAATAACAATACCTGTTTTCTGTACAAATATAAAAGTAGTTTTGCAACTGCTTCAATACGTATTTCTTTTTTTATTAGTATAGTATAGTTCTAGTCTATGATCAAAGACCACTTATTCGAATGTTTCGATCGATTGTCCGATAACACCTGCAAAAAGACTTGTTTGACTTGCTACTAGCTCAAACATTTTTCTTTGAAGAGTCATCCTCGATGGCAACTATTGAATAAAGCAATTTGAAGTTGAAACGTTAGAGGAAATAAATTTTAGTGATATTAACAAGTACTGAGACAAATTTTAAATAGTTTACTATTGTCCAAAATGAAAGCTTCGGTCTAGCAGCGAACGCGTCAATGGAACAAAAAATTGACTTTCACAGGACAACGAAGAAAGAAGGAAACAAATACGTTTTGGCGCAAAAGTTGACGGAAAGTGGTTTGTTCCCCGCCACTTTCACCCGAAAGTAGTTTGACCCGAGAGTCACGAAATCTCACAATGGCTGACGTGTTAATTAAGCATCGGTTAATAGAGTCCAACAAGTTTCTTTCGCGATGGCACCCAAGTACTTAAGTAAGAATTTCAATTAGCCGAGGAAACGATCGAACTAAGACAATTACTACGGGGAACAGGGTCGCATTTCCGGGTCTTAACGAACGAACTGCAGATTAATTAAACTCGCTTCTCTCCTTCTTTTCATCGAGGTCCAAGGAAAGCGGCGCATTGCGGGCGCATTAACGATAATTGAGCCATCCCCGCTGTTATTTAATTACGATCGTTAACCAGAACGATAATCGGGCTTCATATGTGGGCTCGGGGGTTAAAAAAAAAGAAACTTCGCGACGCCTACGAGAGAGCGTGAGCGTTGTCTTCAGACTTATGCCACTTATAAATCAGCCCCGTTCCCAACGGTGATAAGAAAGGATCCGGCCCGGAATGCCGATACGCGATTAATTAAGCTGTTAATTAACTGACAACGACGGATAATGTTTCGTGGGACGGCTGGCGGGAGCCTCGCGTTGTCGTCGCCGTTCCTCTTTCGGTAGTGTTAACTTCGATGTAATACACGTCGTTTAACCGCAACGTCGATGATAGGACTCTCGCTTATGCAGGGAACCAAGATGTTCATGCCGATACGTATATCGCAAACTGCTCCGAAAACACCAGGGACTGAATTTTGGAGAACGAATTTCAAGAATTAAATCTTTGCTGAATTTGGTAATTCGTGCATTATTCGTTAGAAAGTTATAGTGACTAACACAAATATTTTTTATTCGATTATATCCAAAGCTTGTTTAAAAATCACTCCATGATTGGTAGATGGACAAATACACATATAGTTATTTTAGAGCTTCAAGATCTGGTAAAACTATAAGTCGTATTCTTGTTCAATCACTGAAAGCCATAGGTTATATTATAATAACCTGTAAATTGTTACACTGCGTTATTTCTATTTATGAAATAGTGTTTTTAACATTGATGTGAAGCATAATAATAATGATGAGAGGTATAATTATTATATAACAATAATAATTCACTATAGTATGAAGTAATTTTTTTCTCCTAGCGGTCACCCATCCCAAAAAGTACTGGATTTGACCGCGCGTCATGCGGCTGAAAGTCGGTGACTAGACAAGAGACAGTGTTGTATCCAACGTACTACGACCTTCCACAAGTTTTATTTCTAATTTTCATACATATCCCAACATTTTCCATTTATAATCAAAAATAAAAATTATAAACATAGATTATACATACAGATGTTCAAACGAAGCTTTCCCCACCCATTTCAGTAGATTCATTTTCTATAGACATATTTCTTTGCTCCACAATGTTAATCGTTCATATAATTCAAGTATTACACCTCTAGCCTCTAACCGACCCAAACCTACCCTTTCTAAGAACAAACAAACTCGAAGATTGTTTATTGCTAATTAACCGTGCATTCAAGTTCAAATTTCCCCTAGGGCAAAAATCGGTTTGCCACGTTGGCTCTAATCGTTTCGAGCGATATGTTTCTCCTCGGAACGAAATGTGGTAGCGACACTGTTTGCTGCTTAAGACCGGGCGATAGCCATCGTCGACGCTGTTTTTCACGTGATTCTTCGACGCGATAATTTCGCGACTGGCAGGTCGTGGAGGTAAAAGGACAGGGTCCTTTCTCTTAGCAGGAATAATGGAAACTCGTTTTGTTCCGTGTATTCCCCGGGGAATAGCGGACGAAATATCAAAGGTTTTCGCGGATCATTTTTCATCCTCGTAATCGCTCGTCTCATCTCGAGCAGCTCGTGACACTGCACTAGCTGACAGTGACGAATCGACAGTTGTCCAGTCAACCCTTGAGACACTGGCCGCGGACCGGTGTTGTCTCTCTGTCCCACGCGTTTCGTGACTAATGAAAACGTAGCGTCCTTTCGAATCCGACTAATCGAACGTTCGGTCGGACCTTTATTCGCTGTAGCGTGAGAAATTCTCGATGTCTATCTGTACTGGTCGCGGCAGAGGAAGCCTTCGATCTACGAAACGATCGCGTAAGTTATTATTTTTGGCAAATGGCGCGCGTGGGCATGTTTTTACGTTATAGGAAATGGAGGTTAATGTTAACAACTGGAGAACTGGAAACTATAGCTCGCTATCTCTAGGAAATAAACCTAGTTTCATTTTATTTTTAATATTGCAATGTTAACAATAATGTTATAATTATTGTATGTAATAGTAAAGTATCGTACCAGTTGAGGTATACGAGTAGACCTTACACCTTATGTATTTTCGTGGCCCAATCTGACTTTAGCATCCTCTACTCATGGATAGTGGTCAGTTGAGAAACTATTCACTGAATTAGTATTGATGGGCAGACAGCTGTAGTGTGTGCGTAAATACATGTCAATTGACTATAGGAGGGATTGAAAAAGTCAATCGAAAGATCAGAATGGTGCTAAAAGGAAAGTACCCCCTCCCTCACTTACACACACTAATACATAATCACCTTGTATATGAGTTCTGACGCTTCGTAAAACTTCGAGGACTCGAGGAAGAAGTAGTTGATTCTACTGGCCTCCTACAATAGTAAATGTATTTCATTGAAATCTATTTATAAAGTAGAGCTCGTGGGAACACACCAAAAAGTAGAAGACAACTTTTCCGTACAGCGTCAAGGAAATTTATTAAAAATCAAAAATGAATTTTTAAGAAAGATCGATAGGGGGTAGGTGCCTAAATTTCGGCGAAACAAAAATTTTCAAATCGTTCTAAAAAAATTATTTTTGGTTGTGGGGGTCAATTGCAATCATTTTTGGTGAATAGACATACCCTCGAAATCCTACGCATTTTCGAGACAAAAATTCCTTACCGAAAATATAGTATTTGGTCAAAAATATTTCTCCGAAAAAAAAATCATAACTCCTGAACGGATTAAAGGATTTACTTCCATTCCAAAATGCAAACAACGCGTATTTCGATGAAGAATACTTAGAAATTCTAGAAATGTTGTAGAAGTTGTTTCTTAATTCAGTAAAGTGAGAAACCCCCCATAAAAATGGTCCAATTTTCAAGAACTAGCGTCTGGACTTATTATTTAAATCGACTTTGATAAATAACCCCAATATAAAACTAATTTATTTACCGAAGAAAACTCAAATAAGAAGATCGAGGGGTTTAGAAACAAACTTTCAATATACTTCAACATCCTCTTGTTTGTCGAGTTTAAGAAAGAGAAAATAACTTCTTTCCAAGTAAAATGGTGCACCAGTTTCTATTCTCCTTGTGAATTAGACCGCAGTGTATTATTTAGACTTCCTGTGTTCACTTCGAACGTTTCGATCGTTCATTTTGCATTATGCATTAGACGTTCGAAGCGGTCGCAGATTTTAATTACAACTGCGGGCGCAACTTTCTTCGCGGATACGCTTGGCCTGTTGATCGGAGATTCGTAATTATGGGCGGAAATTAATGTAATTACAACTGGTCGCGTTCATACATTAACGATTACGCGCGCGCTTAAATGGCGACACGGGAAGTCGCGCGGGAACAAAAACCGTGGCCCTTCACCTGCCTCATAAACGAGCCGAGTGACTTTCGCGTACCATACTGGTTTTGCACCTTGAGGTATTGAAAAATGCAGCGAGCACCGAGAAATCGGGAAACTCGGGCGAATTATAAATTTTACCCGAAGCGCTTCCCCTCCACGTAGTTC